ACTTTTGGATAGCAGCCATCCTGACTGGTGTGTAATGGTACCTCATTGTGGTTTTGATTTGCATTTCTCTGATAATGAGCGATGTTGAGCATCTTTTCATGTGTTTGTTAGCCATCTGTATGTCTTCCTTGGAGAAATGTCTGTTCAGTTCTTTGGCCCATTTTTTGATTGGGTCATTTATTTTTCTGGAGTTGAGCTGGAGGAGTTGCTTGTATATTTTTGAGATTAATCCTTTGTCTGTTGCTTCGTTTGCTATTATTTTCTCCCAATCTGAGGGCTGTCTTTTCACCTTGCTTATAGTTTCCTTTGCTGTGCAAAAGCTTTTAAGTTTCATTAGGTCCCATTTGTTTATTTTTGCTTTTGTTTCTAAAATTCTGGGATGTGGGTCATAGAGGATCCTGCTGTGATTTATGTCGGAGAGTGTTTTGCCTATGTTCTCCTCTAGGAGTTTTATAGTTTCTGGTCTTACATTTAGATCTTTAATCCATTTTGAGTTTATTTTTGTGTATGGTGTTAGAAAGTGTTCTAGTTTCATTCTTTTACAGGTGGTTGACCAGTTTTCCCAGCACCACTTGTTAAAGAGGTTGTCTTTTTTCCACTGTATATCCTTGCCTCCTTTGTCGAAGATAAGGTGACCACAGGTTCGTGGATTTATCTCTGGGCTTTCTATTCTGTTCCATTGATCTATATTTCTGTCTTTGTGCCAGTACCATACTGTCTTGATGACTGTGGCTTTGTAGTATAGTCTGAAGTCAGGCAGGTTGATTCCTCCAGTTCCATTCTTCTTTCTCAGGATTACTTTGGCTATTCGAGGTTTTTTGTATTTCCATACAAATTGTGAAATTATTCGTTCTAGTTCTGTGAAAAATACCGTTGGTAGTTTGATAGGGATTGCATTGAATCTGTAGATTGCTTTGGGTAGTCTAGCCATTTTGACAATATTGATTCTTCCAATCCATGAACACGGTATATTTCTCCATCTGTTTGTGTCCTCTTTGATTTCTTTCATCAGTGTTTTATCGTTTTCTATGTATAGGTCTTTTGTTTCTTTAGGTAGATATACTCCTAAGTATTTTATTCTTTTTGTTGCAATGGTGAATGGTATTGTTTCCTTAATTTCTCTTTCTGTTTTCTCATTGTTAGTGTACAGGAATGCAAGAGATTTCTGTGTGTTAATTTTATATCCTGCCACTTTACTGTATTCGTTGATTAGCTCTAGTATGTCCTTTACTTTTGAAAGTGATTTTGTTCCTTGTGCTTTTGCTTTCATTGTGTTTTGTATTAGTTGGACATACCTTATTGCTTATAACTGTGTTGTGCCATGTATTTATCTAGTAGTAAATTAGGCAGTTAGCAAAGGTTAGGTAATGTTTTGTGTTTTATGAATTTTTAGATCACTGATGATACTTTGATATGTTTTCTTATAGTCTTTATGCATATATTTATAGTACATATTTTTCAGTGATACTTATCATTATATTCGGAACATTTCCTAATATTCCCAAATATTTTTCAAGGGCATAATTTTCTTTGTTGGCAGAGTAATGTCTCTGCCTTTTATTTTTATTTATTTTTTATTATTATTTTTTTAATTATTTTTTTCCATTTATTTTTATTAGTTGGAGGCTAATTACTTTACAATATTGTAGTGGTTTTTGCCATACATGGACATGAATCAGCCATGGATTTACATGTATTCCCCATCCCAATCCCCCCTCCCACCTCCCTCTCCACCCGATCCCTCTGGGTCTTCCCAGTGCACCAGCCCCAATCACTTGTCTCATGCATCCAGCCTGGGCTGGTGATCTGTTTCACCCTTGATAATATACATGTTTCGATGTTGTTCTCTCGAAACATCCCACCCTCGCCTTCTCCCATAGAGTCCAAAAGTCTGTTCTGTACATCTGTGTCTCTTTTTCTGTTTTATCTTTTTTTTTTTTTTTTTTTTTTTACATGTATTCCCCATCCCGGTCCCCCCTCCCACCTCCCTCTCCACCCAATCCCTCTGGGTCTTCCCAGTGCACCAGGCCCGAGCACTTGTCTCATGCACCCAACCTGGGCTGGTGAACTGTTTCACCCTAGATAATATACGTGTTTCAATGCTGTTCTCTTGAAACATCCCACCCTCGCCTTCTCCCAGAGTCCACAAGTCTGTTCTATACATCGGAGTCTCTTTTTCTGTTTTTCACATAGGGTTATCGTTACCATCTTTCTAAATTCCGTATATATGTGTTAGTATACTGTAATGGTCTTTATCTTTCTGGCTTACTTCGCTCTGTATAATGGGCTCCAGTTTCATCCATCTCATTAGAACTGATTCAAATGAATTCTTTTTAATGGCTGAGTAATATTCCATGGTGTATATGTCCCACAGCTTCCTCATCCATTCGTCTGCTGATGGGCATCTAGGTTGCTTCCATGTCCTGGCTATGATAAACAGTGCTGCGATGAACATTGGGGTGCATGTGTCTCTTTCAGATCTGGTTTCCTCGGTGTGTATGCCCAGAAGTGGGATTGCTGGGTCATATGGCAGTTCTATTTCCAGCTTTTTAAGAAATCTCCACACTGTTTTCCATAGTGGCTGTACTAATTTGCATTCCCACCAACAGTGTAAGAGGGTTCCCTTTTCTCCACACCCTCTCCAGCATGTATTGCTTGTAGACTTTTGGATAGCAGCCATCCTGACTGGTGTGTAATGGTACCTCATTGTGGTTTTGATTTGCATTTCTCTGATAATGAGTGATGTTGAGCATCTTTTCATGTGTTTGTTAGCCATCTGTATGTCTTCCTTGGAGAAATGTCTGTTCAGTTCTTTGGCCCATTTTTTGATTGGGTCATTTATTTTTCTGGAGTTGAGCTGGAGGAGTTGCTTGTATATTTTTGAGATTAATCCTTTGTCTGTTGCTTCGTTTGCTATTATTTTCTCCCAATCTGAGGGCTGTCTTTTCACCTTGCTTATAGTTTCCTTTGCTGTGCAAAAGCTTTTAAGTTTCATTAGGTCCCATTTGTTTATTTTTGCTTTTGTTTCTAAAATTCTGGGATGTGGGTCATAGAGGATCCTGCTGTGATTTATGTCGGAGAGTGTTTTGCCTATGTTCTCCTCTAGGAGTTTTATAGTTTCTGGTCTTACATTTAGATCTTTAATCCATTTTGAGTTTATTTTTGTGTATGGTGTTAGAAAGTGTTCTAGTTTCATTCTTTTACAGGTGGTTGACCAGTTTTCCCAGCACCACTTGTTAAAGAGGTTGTCTTTTTTCCACTGTATATCCTTGCCTCCTTTGTCGAAGATAAGGTGACCACAGGTTCGTGGATTTATCTCTGGGCTTTCTATTCTGTTCCATTGATCTATATTTCTGTCTTTGTGCCAGTACCATACTGTCTTGATGACTGTGGCTTTGTAGTATAGTCTGAAGTCAGGCAGGTTGATTCCTCCAGTTCCATTCTTCTTTCTCAGGATTACTTTGGCTATTCGAGGTTTTTTGTATTTCCATACAAATTGTGAAATTATTCGTTCTAGTTCTGTGAAAAATACCGTTGGTAGTTTGATAGGGATTGCATTGAATCTGTAGATTGCTTTGGGTAGTCTAGCCATTTTGACAATATTGATTCTTCCAATCCATGAACACGGTATATTTCTCCATCTGTTTGTGTCCTCTTTGATTTCTTTCATCAGTGTTTTATCGTTTTCTATGTATAGGTCTTTTGTTTCTTTAGGTAGATATACTCCTAAGTATTTTATTCTTTTTGTTGCAATGGTGAATGGTATTGTTTCCTTAATTTCTCTTTCTGTTTTCTCATTGTTAGTGTACAGGAATGCAAGAGATTTCTGTGTGTTAATTTTATATCCTGCCACTTTACTGTATTCGTTGATTAGCTCTAGTATGTCCTTTACTTTTGAAAGTGATTTTGTTCCTTGTGCTTTTGCTTTCATTGTGTTTTGTATTAGTTGGACATACCTTATTGCTTATAACTGTGTTGTGCCATGTATTTATCTAGTAGTAAATTAGGCAGTTAGCAAAGGTTAGGTAATGTTTTGTGTTTTATGAATTTTTAGATCACTGATGATACTTTGATATGTTTTCTTATAGTCTTTATGCATATATTTATAGTACATATTTTTCAGTGATACTTATCATTATATTCGGAACATTTCCTAATATTCCCAAATATTTTTCAAGGGCATAATTTTCTTTGTTGGCAGAGTAATGTCTCTGCCTTTTATTTTTATTTATTTTTTATTATTATTTTTTAAATTATTTTTTTCCATTTATTTTTATTAGTTGGAGGCTAATTACTTTACAATATTGTAGTGGTTTTTGCCATACATGGACATGAATCAGCCATGGATTTACATGTATTCCCCATCCCAATCCCCCCTCCCACCTCCCTCTCCACCCGATCCCTCTGGGTCTTCCCAGTGCACCAGCCCCAATCACTTGTCTCATGCATCCAGCCTGGGCTGGTGATCTGTTTCACCCTTGATAATATACATGTTTCGATGTTGTTCTCTCGAAACATCCCACCCTCGCCTTCTCCCATAGAGTCCAAAAGTCTGTTCTGTACATCTGTGTCTCTTTTTCTGTTTTGTATATAAGGTTATCATTACCATCTTTCTAAATTCCATATTCAAGGGCATAATTTTAAGAACTGTGTAACAGACCGTGTGGCTACACTAACATTTAGTCATTCCCTTATTGTCAAACATAAATTATTTGCTTTATAAGCCATTATAAATCATTGATAAATCTCTGTAACTCATAAACCATTATGGTCTTCTCTCACTATTTCTGTAGTATAAATTCCTGAAATAGAATTACTTGGTCAAAGGTTAAGAATATTTTTAAAGCTGTTGATACAGATTTTTAAAATGCGTTGTAAAAAGTTTGTACCAGTTTATATACACTGGTGTTTGATTTTTTTTTTTTGCTATAATATAATGCAAAATTTATTTTGTGTGCTAAATCCCCTGGTGTTTGTCTCCTTAATGATTTTCTTCTCAGAATAAGCAGGTGAAAATAACTTTTGGGTTCTCTTGCAAGAATAATAACCAGTTTGGAGTAATGATGTATCATAACAACCGCCTCATAAAGTCTTTTGAGAAGGTGGGGTGCCAGGTGAAGGTGAGTAGTTAATGTTTCTTTGTCATAGAAGGCTGAACAGAGTAGGAAGAGGATTCAAGTTTTGCAAAAGCGATAAACCAATGAATGGCTTTTTACTGCCATCTTGAGATGGTTGTTGAATCTGATCCTGGAATTCTGTGTTATCAGTGAGCTGTCTTACGTTCAGAAGCTCTTTCTATTTCTCATTCTTCATAAATGTTAACCCAGGACCTTTACTGGATGCATTTTTTTAGGTCACTGTTAATAAGAGATAGAATGAGAGCACCAGCAACTCTGCCATGTGTATAAGTTTACTAATATTTGAGGTAGTGCTTTCCATTTTCTTGTGGAGACAGTAAGGCAAAGTGGAAGATGCGTAAAATTTAGTGTTTGATAACCAGGATTTGAGTCCCAGCCTTTTCAGCTAAAAGCTATGTAACCTTGGCTATGTTGTTTAATTTCTCTGTGGCTCAGGTTTCTTACCTGTAAAATGGAAACAATAGTAGTTTTACTTGCTCTACCTACCTTAAAGTTTAGAGGGCTGAGAGATTTAAATGGAATAGATCATGCAAAAGTGCTTTATAACTGAAGTATAGAAATATTACCATCATCTTCAGGTTTTAATAACAACTTAAAGTGGTAATATCCACAAGTATCCCATTCATCCCTATTTTATAGATAAGATTACTAAAGCACAAAGGATGATAAGCTGCTTTATATTACACAGTAGGACAAAGTTTTACATATGACCCAGGAGAGCTAGTTTGCATCCTGGATTTCTTTTCATTGTTGTATCATCTTTATACAACTTGTTTGTGTTCCAGTCTAATTACACTTTGACTCAGTTCCTTCCCTTAAAGAATACAAAAATGATTTTTAAGTCCAAAAATCTTTTGTATCAACTTGTAATTAATCACTACAGGTGTGACTCTTTCACAGTTGTTTGGTGGCCTTACATATATAAAAATTGTTTTAATAGTGTGATGATTACATAGCACCCTTAATTTTTTCAGATGGAGTTTGGTTTTAGTTCCTTAGAACAGGAGTATATAACCTTAATTTTTTTTTAGTATTATCATTCTTTGTTCAAATGAAATCTTACGGCAATCCCTTAATATAAACAGATGAAAGTGCCTTGAGGTAGCATGGGTGAAATAGAGTTTTCCTGGAAAATCCTAGGGAATCTATGGATCACAGTTTGAAAATCTCTGCCCTAAAATTTGGCAGAGGTTCCAATTCATTGTAATACTTGCAGTCTATTGGAGTAAGTTCCCAGTGTTTCTCTAGATATTACTGGCCTTTCCTTGCCTGTGAATATTGTATAACCTTTCTGTTATTGTTTGGAATCAAAAGGAAGTGCCTCTAGGCAGTCAACATTAATTTAAGTGTTAAAATTACTATTTTTTTTCTAAGCCAACCCATGGAGAAGGTGTGGGAGTAATTGGAGTCATTGAGTGCAATTTCTTAAAACCTGCCTACAATAAACAAGACTTTGAATACACCAAGGAGTACCGGTGAGTCACTCCCAACCTGAGTTGTTTCTAATAGTTTGTTCAGATATGATTCTATTCTCTGAAAACTCTAAAATCATCTCTTAAAACCAGCCAGGTAAGTTAACAGAGAATTCCTTCAAATCTGTTTTCCTTCAAATCTGTTTCCTAAGGTTATAAATAAAATGATTTTATTTTTAAATTAAACCTCATTGATGGATGATGTTTGGAGCCCAGTTGAAATAAACTTTGAAAATTATGGAAAGAGCATAGGGGCTATTTAGTAAAATACTTATGGTGAAACAGTTTTTTTAAAACTTTTTATTTTGTATTGGGGAATAGCTGATTAACAAAAAATGTTGTGATAATTTTAGGTGAACAGGAAAGGGACTCAGCCATACATATACATGTATCCATTCTCCCCCAAACCCTGCTCACATCCAGGCTGCCACATAACATTGAGCAAAGTTCCATGGGCTATACAGTAGTTCCTTGTTGGTTATCCATTTTAAATATAGTAATGTGTACATGCCCATCTCAAACTCAGTAATTTATCTCTTCCCGCCATCCTTCCCCCCAGCAACCATAAGTCTATGAGTCTGTTTCTGTTTATAAGTTCGTTTGTATTATTTCTTTTTAGATTCCACATATAAAGGGTATCATGATATTTCTTCTCTGTCTGACTTCACTCAGTATGACACTCTCTAGGTCCAACCATGTTCCTGCAAATAGCATTATATATTTCATTAATTTATTTTCAGGAGACAAAGGAGTTGTTAAAGCCAGAGTATAATGGTTTGTTTTAAAACTTGTAGGGAGGGATAGATCATACATTCCTTCTTTCATCAAGTATTATGAGATATCCCCTCTGCCATTACGGACATAAGAATGAAAGTTAAGAATCCTAGATGCCTATGAACAAATGGGATGAGATGTATGTAAATGCTGTGTGTGTGTTAAGTCACACACACAGCATTTAGTCGTGTCCGACTCTTTGTGACCCCATGGGCTGTAGCCCTCCAGGTTTCTCTGTCTATGGGATTTTCCAGGCAAGAATACTGGAGTGGGTTGCCATTTCCTCCTCCAGGGGATCTTCCCAACCCAGGGATTGAACCAGCGTCTTTTAGTTCTCCTGCATTGGCAGGTGGGTTCTTTACCACTGGCCCCACCTGGGAAGACCCTATATGTAAATAAGAAAGTTAAATACCTATAAAATTGTATTAATGAGGGCTGTATGCCAAATGGGAAGCAGCTTTAAATAAAGCCTAAAGGAGTCAGGGAAGGCTTCACAAAGCAGAATACATTTGAACTGAAACTTCAAGGAAAACTTGGAGTTTGCTAGGTGAACGAAGTGGGGGAAGGACATTCTAAGTGGAGGAAAGTATGTAAAAGGGCAAAGGGTGTTCTGGGAGTATAGAGAAAGAAGGTGTGAGGATTTATGGTGTTGTTTTCCTTGAAATCTCAGTAGGAAATCTTTTGTTAGAGTAGGGGGAAAGTAATTCCCCAAATCTTTTTTTGTTTTGTGTCCAAAACTGTAATAAAATTAGTTAAAGGTTGTGCCTTAATTTATATGAAACTGTAAGAATTTTAGGTTTAATATTTGACAGACTGATAACTATTTGGATGACACCTCAGATTAATTTCAGGGTAATTGGTTCTTGGACCCTAGGGCTACTCAGTGATTGTGATAACTGCCTGCCATTAGTTTAAGTAAAATAGTCTTTTAAACATGAGTCTGGCCCATAATGGAGATCTTTGATTAGGACTTGACTCACAAGAATGAAAGTTTAGGAATGACATAAGTTTGGCAAAAGTCCAGAGCCGAGTCTTTCTCTTGAGTGAAAGGAGTAGTGAATTTCTGGTGATTAACCAAATAGTTGGAGAAGGCAATGGCACCCCACTCAAGTACTCTTGCATGGAAAATCCCATGGATGGAGGAGCCTGGTAGGCTGCAGTCCATGGGGACGCGAAGAGTCAGACATGACTGAGCGACCTCACTTTCACTTTTCACTTTCATGCATTGGAGAAGGAAATGGCAACCCACTCCAGTGTTCTTGCCTGGAGAATCCCAGGGATGGGGTCGCACAGAGTTGGACACGACTGAAGTGACTTAGCAGTAGCAGTAGCAACCAAATAGTTGAGATTTGTGAAATCCAAATGTTAGATACTAAAACTATGTAACATCCTCTTATGCCATCTCTGCCACTCCTGCCTCTACCTTTTAAATTTTAGAGGTATTAGACCCTTGGTTTGTGGTGTTTTGTTTTAGTATGATGAGTTTTAGGTGATGGCAGGGGAATCCAAGTGGAGGTATTACATAGAGAATAGGTTTATTCAGTTAAACATATGGGACTTCTGGCTTAAGTAGCTTAATATCTGCTGCACATTTTATTAAAAACAGAAAACTAGTATGCTAGCCTGCATACACAATCTTTTGAGGATGAGAAATTTGTGTAACTCACCCCAATTCTGTCATCATTTCCCTTTTCACTCTGTTTTATATTCACTGAAAAAAGTGTTTTGTTAATATATGAGGGAATTTGAGAGGGTGATTAGAGAAGATTGTTTGCCATCACAAACTCATCCTAAGAGTATTTATTATAGATTTCAAAACTGCTAAAAGGGGTTTCAGCCATCACACTGCTGCAATGTCTACAAATAAATTACTTGTAATATCACTTTTAATAGTTGTGGATATCCAATTTCAGCTGCAACTACCAGGACTCAAACTTACAACATTTTTAGAGTGAATTTCAGCTTAAGAAACGCAATCAACACATACTAACTGAGCACCTCACAGGTGCATGGCACAGTGGCTAGATTTTGTGGAATTTTCCAGAGATATTCGAGACACAGTTGCTGTCTTTGAGGAGCTCACAGTCTAATTGTAATGACAGATTATCACCAACATGAAACAGAGCAATAAACTATTTGATCATTTGGAACTAAGTGGTATGATACAGGAAACATTTGCTGATAAAACAGATAGGGAAGGTTTTAGGTAAACAGTGTGACTTAAGATTTGCCTTAAAGATACAGGGTTTAGAAAAGGGAGGGAGGGGAATTCCAGGGTGAAATTATAGCAGAACCTAAATAAGGCAATGACAGAAACTCAGAATGGGAAGAATATGGGGAGTTGGGGATAAGTGGATGTAACTAGAGCGAAGGGAAATAGAGTCAGATGGATAGCATAGGGCCCTATTCTAAGGCAGGGGTTGGCAAATCTTTCTGTGAAGGGCCAGGAAGTAAATAGTTTTAGCTTTATAGGCTGTATGGTCTCTGTCACTACTACTCAGTTGTGCTGTAGTATGAAAGTACTCAGTTCTGCTATAGTATGAACGCAACCAAAGACATAAGTAAAGGAATGAACATGTCTGTGTTCAATACAGTTTTGTTTATGAAAACAGCCTGGATTTGGCCCACAGGTTGTAGTTTGTTGACCCCTTAAAGCCCCACTTCCCAAAGTGTGTACCAAGCTGCACATAATGAAGTCACAGGGGAGCCACGGGATATTTAAAATTTTTGAGGGGAGTACAGTGGTACTTGACTCTTGCCTGTAAGCAGTAGAAATTGTTTTCTGTTGCTGTCGTAACAAATTACCATAAACAGTGCCTTAAGACAACACTGATTGATTGGCTTAGAGTTCTGTAGGTTAGAAGTCCATCTCAGATTTCACTGGGCTAAAATCAAGGCGTTGGCAAAGCTCCTTTTATTTCTTGAGGCTCTAGGGGTGAATCTATTTTGTTGGCTTTTCCAGCTTTTAGAGTCTGCCAGCATTCCTTGGCCCATGGTCCTCTTCCTCCATCCATATTCAAAGCCATCAACGATGGGTCAGGTCCTCATATCATCTCACTCTGATGACCTTGCTTCTGTCGTTACATCTTATTTGATTCTGGCTCTTCTGCCTCACTCTTCCACTTTTAAGGACCCTTATGCTGTGTTGGTAATTCAAGATAATCTATCTTAAGGTCAGCTGATGAGTAACCTTAATGCCACCTGCAATTTGATTTCCCCTTGACGTGTAACCTGATATATTCACAGGTTTCAGGGATTAGAACATAGACATCTTTGGAGGACCATTATTCTGCTACGACAGTCTGCTCTCTGGCCTCCTAAGATTCACTTACATCACACATGCAAAATGCATCTATACCATCCCAGCATCCCCCAAAGTCTCAACTCTTAGAGCAACTTAGTCTAAGTTTTTAATGTCCTCAACTCACAATTCCCAAATCTCCTCTAAATCAAATATGAATGATACTGAGTCTGATGCATCTTGGGGTAAAATTCCTCTCCATCTGCAGATGTGTGTCTTTTAATTTTTTTTTGTATTTTGCTCCTAAAATACAATGGTGGGACAGGCATAGGATACCAGTTTTAGATGTTCCAGTTCAAACAGGGAGAAAATTTTAAGGAAAAAGGAATCCAGGCAAGCTAACTTCATTAAATTTCAAGGCCTGGAAATACTCTTCTGGGGCTTTCAGCTCCACCCTTTGGACTTAAGGCTCTATTCTGTCCTCATGGCTCTAGCCTCAGACTTGACTTTCCTTTTTCTTGAAGGATAGCATGTATTTATGTGTGTTTCCCAGGAGGCTCAGTGATGAAGAATCCACCTGCCAATGCAGGAGACATGGATTCAATTCCTGGGTCGGGAAGGTTCCCTGGAGGAGGAAATGGCAATCCACTCCAGTATTCTTGCCTGGAGAATCCCCGTGGACAGAGGGACTTGATGGACTATAGTCCATGGGGTCACAAAAGAGTTGGATGCAGCTGAACACAAAAACACACACAAATGTCTATTTGTAGCTGAGTAGTTTCATCTCGTTTCAACTTGTTTCTTGACTGTAGAGTTTTGGGGGTCCAACAACCTCCTTTCACACTCTCTCTGTCCCTTTCAGGCCAATCTAGCAGGTTTTTTTTATTTTTAATTGGAGGCTAATTTATTTATTTAATTTATTTAATTTATTTTATTTGGAGGCTAATTCCTTTACGATATTGTAGTGGGTTTTGCCATACATTGACAT